TAATTTCATAACAGACTTGTGGTTTTGGTAGAAACCACTCTTGAGTGACAGTAATGGTACTTGATCAAATTCACTGTGCAATTTTTACCATTATTTAAGAAACATACACTTTTTACAGTTCATATAAACTGGATATTACACCACTATATTTTCCTATTTATCTAAAAGAAATACACTTCACACAAAGATATTAAAATGGACATGTTGCAAATACTGAATTCCTTTGAATTTGATGTTCACTACATTAAGGCCTTTATGGCTACAGTGATTCTTGTTCAGCAGATTTCAATGCACTTTCGTGAGTTTTAAGTTATTTTCAATACTGATTAACTACATCCCAAGAGACACTGGACAGATGAGGGAAGAGAGCACGAGAGGAAAAATAATGCACAATAAAAAGCAATCCTTCTTTTGACTAGCACTGTTTAACTTGATTCAATTAATCAGCTGAGTAATTAGTGTCAATATGAAGAGTAAGCTCTCATTATTGTGTCGAGTCATCTCAGCATGAACGACCATGTCATGCAAACTGCCACTAATTTAATTCCCTTGAATTTTAGGAAATGTCAGTCTTCATTACTTGGGGACTCTGATTTGATTACTTAGAATTTGTAACATGATCACGAGGGAATACTTGTTTTAATTAAAAGAAAAATGTGAAATTCTATCTTGGTTGAAATATGAAAGTGTATCACAGCGTGTGAAGTGTGATTGAAGCACACGCATGATAACATGTCAAATCTGCAGAGATCTCTAAACCTGCTACAAGTTCTCAGAAATTCCATTTTCACCTAGTCAAAGCATCAGGTAAGATCGCAATTGTTCAATTTACCGAAAAAACAACCTGTCACCACAGTCTGCAACATTCAAAACTAAATTGCAGATCTGCATCTCTGTGCAACTCTCCATACCTCTTGACCGAACTTCCAGGAAAACCTTTTCGAATTGTCATATCACAAGTTAAGTGAGGTTTCAGTATTTTGCATCTTTATCTCATAACACTCCAAAGGACTTCTATCGCCTCACTGTCTATGTACTGTGCCTGTAGGAGACAGCTATGCTGCGAACCATGATAAAACCTTCATTTCTCATTATTGTCTAGGAACACCCAATGGACACGGCTAAAGGATATCATCTATCATGATAGGAAAAATAAAAACAGGCCAAAAGCTATATGGAGACGCTAACAAAGATAACTGGGCTTACAGACAGGGTTGGTGCCAGAGAAGTGACTAGATTACTACTATTAATGTGTTGTTGAATGCTTTACAACAATATCTTAGGTCTCTGTAGAAATATGCCTGCACCACAGGGAAGCTTTGAACAGAAAATCAATAACTGATCATTTTCTCCCCTTTAATGTGTTGTCACATGATGATTCCCTTGAGAGGTCTGAAAAGGTTCAACATGGAGACATATTTTTTTTTTAGTTTATTTCAATCCTCGGCACTTTTACTGCACTTTGTATCTGGTCTTATGTACTAAGAATCCTGTGTGCTTATTACTTAAAGCTCACGAAAGTGCATTGACATCTTCTGAACAAGAATCACTGTAGATAAAGGCCTGAATGTACGGAGCATCAAATTTAGAGGAAGATCCTCAAATTTTTGTCACGCTGATGGTATCTCTTCCAATTTCTAACAAGCACGATGCCAGTTGCTTCATTAAAAGACCTTAATTTTCATACTGAAAAAAATGTGGGGTGCCATGCAATTTACAATACACATAACATGAGGTGTCAATTTACAAACATGCAAAATATCCATTCTTCTTTTATAAGATGCCCTATACACTGTCAACCCATGCTTTTCTATTTACGTCTGTGAAACCTATTTTGTTAATACCCTATTAAAGTGAGAACTGAATCTTTATTTGACTTAATTTGCCTGTAATTTAACCTTGTTTACATAAAATCTAGTTCATATAATCAAAAATGCAATCTAATACAAAACAAAAGACATTTTATTCAAAAAAATGTATTATTTTTTAACCAATCTGGTGCTAGTGCTATGTTTTAGTATGAACATTCACTTAATAAATTCTGTGTTGATCTTTTCTCCAAGATGGCAAATCACTCGAGAGATGATAGAACCTTTCAAGAACCACACAATTTTCACAGCCAGAGAGAATTCCATCTCAGAGGGTGGTCTGAACCCAAAGCTATAGCACATCCTATTACTTAACTGGCGAAACATCTATGAATATGAGTCATAAGTTCACTCTTTTTAATTTCCCAGTCTTAATCTTATGCACACATTTTTTCATCTTAACACATAGAGAATAAAATAGTGCTGGGTATCAAAATAAATGACACAATTAATTACTGTGCTACCCCGCCTCCTGTTTATCTCCCCCTGCCTCACGCCAGCTGTTGGAAGGACAATGAGACAGTATCTGAAGTGATATCCTAATTCATTCAACAAATATTTTTTGAATGATTTCGTCTGGGTGGTCTACAGCAGTGGGTGCTGACTGTCCAGTCAGGTTGCACCTTGAAGCAATTCTCTTCAGGAACAAAAGATGATTATATTTGAGAACCAAGAGAGAAAGAGAGGAAGAAAAAAATACAAATGACAGAGTAAACTTCCAATTTTCAGATTAGAAAATGGGCCTGTGGTGAGCCAATACAAGATGCATTACTGGGTACAAACAAGCATATGGCAACCAACCACCCAAACATGCTTGGGTGATAATACTTTAATCCCAAGTATAGGAACCCAGGCTATGTTAGGCAAGGGGACCACCTCTTCACCTGAATGTCAGGACAGGTACATCCTCAGGCGTGGCACACAGGTGGTATGTCTACCTGCCCATCACAGCCTCATTACCAGCTACCACAAGCTCATCTAGATGTCATGCCATTATGACTTCTCTGCTTCAGTAAATTGACAAAAGTTGCACACGCACACACACACTCTCTCTCTCTCTCATATAGGCATAAAAAATGGCTTCCTTTATGAAAAGATTGTGCACACTTGCAATTTGTACAGAATTGAGATGGAAAATGACAGTCAACTGTTGACACCCCAGCATTTCATAGTTTCTGTCCAGTTTGAAAGGTGTATGATTTATTTCCGACTTCAGGTGAGGTCCATGATAAACGGCGGTTGTCAGCTCAAGGGATTATTACTCAGGTGTTAATTCCTGATGATGGCTATAAATTTCAACTCATGACAGGTAAACAAATTTCTTTGAATGGCGTAACGAGTGTGCCGTGACCAAAGGCAATAACTCAGAGAGTATCAGTGGAATTGTTCCTGGTATCTTGTTACGAAAATGAAGTGTTCTCCTGGGGCAAATGTGAGGTAGGGTGTAAATATGGTGTTGGGAGGGAGGGGGGGGGGGGGGCTTGCTTTTACCAATTCGGTAAAATACAGAGCCTTTGTGCACAATACAGAGCCTTTAAACACCTACACCTCAAACGTACTTAAATATTGCCAATACTGCAGCTGTACTTTATCAATTACTCAGAGCAAGATAAGGTAAGAAAAAGGTGGGAAAGTCAAACAAGAAAAGAGCGATATTAGCCATAAAAAATAATTAGTTTCATTCTGAGCCCATGTAGACCTTATGTTTTAGCTACTTACCTAGTTTAGAATGTCCATAACAGAAGAGGCAACCATCTGCTCCATTCACAACAGACTGAATGATATCTGACAGACTGCTTGAGCAGATCTCAGTCTAAAATTAAAGCAAAACTCACAGTTTATGACTTATCAATGCAATAACCTTGAAGGACTGGATTCAAAGTATGGCAGATCTGAAAATATGATCAAATACATAATTTATGACTTATTAATAAAAAAAGGGTGATATCAAAACCATTACTTCTGAATCTACCAGACAACTACTTTACTCTTTACATGAAAAAATAGATAAGAAAGAAAGAAAAAAATCAAAAACATGAATTGATAACACAAATTTTTCTTTATTCCTATAGTACATAGCATTTCCCTTACCAAGGAGTCATCTTGTGAGAAGACTTGGTCGAAAGCAAACATCTTGGGTGCTGCAGCCCCAGTCCTGCGATGAGCTGAGGTAGCATAGCCACTGGTAGAGGGGTCGTACACAGTCACTTGTTTCTTACGAGGATCTGAACTGAGGATAGAACCAGTATCGTTGCTGATATCCGTGGGAGCAATCCTCAGCATTACCTTCACCTAAAACATGCAAACCACATATTATTCATTTGAAATATCCAAAGACAGAAAAAAAAGCAAAATATCCATGGTAACAGACAGTATTAATTTGATACCGTTGAAGTATCCATAACGTCTTCTCAGCAGAAAGCATTCTCTTAAGACACTGGCAAGACTTCAAGTAAAATATTGAAGGATGTAATTGAGATCCCTTGTAGGAGATCAAAAGGAATTTTCTAGGGACTTGTGTTGTAAATGTAAGAATGCTATTGTCAAAAAATTGGCATAATGCTTAAAATCCAGAAAAATCAACCTTCAAGAATGTTGCTTCTAGCTTTTTTCTCAACATTCATCTTGGTTCAACATGGCTAGAATTGAGGGACTACAGGGCCTGTCAACAGCATGCCTTTTCAGAACATTTTTTTCATTATCATTCACTAACGGGGCTCCTTTTTAAATCTTCAGGATGAATCCTGTAGAAAAAAAGAGTCCATAAAGAGCCAATCAATAAAGATACTACATAACAAGCTGAATGCATTCCAAATTAACTTTATAACAATCTTGATTCTGATTGATAAGGCCTGGATCAATGTATATCTCACATAGCCCCAAGAGCTAAATGCTAACTATCTCCATAATTTTCCTGAATCCCATCAATATTTGGACAACTTCCTGCAGCTTAGAACCATCTCTTTAAAATATGAAGATGATATTTGGTTGAGTGTGAATATAAAGCACACTACTAGTAAGCAAAGGTATTCTTTTGCTGGGCTGGACAGTTTGGCAAAAAACAGTAGGGTTATTATCTGAAAAGAGAATTAATGGCCCTGCATTATGTTGAACAGTAAACAAGTTTGCATGTAGACATGCTTGTCCATAATGTGGTGTGGCAAGTTAGGAAGTCCAGTTGGTTGTCACATTTAGATTTTAACCACATAATCTGGCCCTGACTTTATATCTTCTTTTTTTACCTTCATTGGTGCAAATAATTGAAATGAGTAAAATCAGCTCTTAACATGCTCTTTTTTAATATCCTTTGATATTAATAAAAAACAGAACTTGTTGTAAATAATGAAACTGAAATCTATGGGAAATAGAAACACTGCTTCAAATGCTTCAATGTGAACTATGATATGTAATTCACTTTTGGTTCCAATTTCCACTTGTCATAATTTGGATTTCCTGCACACATAACACTCAAGCCAGAATTGGACACAGACAATGCCTGCCTTTTTATGGTGTAGACAAGCCCCATGGTTTATGCTAGTAGAAGAGTGAAGCCATATTTTTGTGTACAATGCAAGCTTTCTTGTTTCCCAGTGGAAATCTGGAGAAGCAATAGGGTGTGGGCAATCACATGAAGCTTACTGGAAATTAAATCAATGCCAGAAACGTTGACTTTGGGTCTTAGACTTCATCCAACATGACTTATGAGACTTATTTAAGTTGCAAAAAGTGGCTGCTGATAAATGTTGTGGCAAACACTGCAATAAATACACTTCTTGGAGGACTCTGAATCTCTACGATACAAACTCATTGTAATAAATTAATGACAATAAGGCAGTAGGTGTAAACCGAAGTGCTGGGGTGGCATACTTCATATTTGAGCATGTTTGTGCAAGTATTAAATCTCCCACTGTACACAGCCGTTTCTTATCTCTATTCATCAACTGTGCTTCATTAGCTTGCACTGTATGCCTAATTAACAATTTATTCCTGTTAAATACCAGGAGAAAGACAGCTTCAAACTGACAGCTCCTGTTTCCTGCGACTGGCAGGCAGTCTGAAGGCTTCATCCACTCAAATATTTGCACAATACATGAAATGAGGAGAATGACGACATTTACATCGATTTGTTTTATCTTCATGACTGAATGACCACTTTTACGTACTATGATCAGATGATGTGACTGCAGGGTAAGCAACATCACATTGTTAATCAATACTGATGTAGATGGAGATTCCAAGTTTTAACCTACTATAAATAGCCATCTTACAATGTAAGACACACTGCAAATATTATTGTATAATCATTAAATGACAATAAGTGCAATTTCCTGTCTGGAGGCAGAAGTGGTGCCTCAGCAAATAGTCTACAAATGGGGTAAAAATTGGACATTTCATTTTTATTTTCAAGGCACAATCTTGTCTTTTCATGGAAGTGAATTAGTGCTGATGTAAAAAGCTGAGATGGAGAAGGAGGTATTGAAGCAACCAGACGGCAATAATGATCCTTCGTTGCATTAACTCCTACTCGCTCCAATGAAATGTATTCCAGTAATTAATTACCTCCCTTCACTAACTAATGTTTGCTATTCAGTGCACATCACTAGGGCTCTTTTCTGATGGGAATGCTACTTATATTTCAATCATTATGCAAAATTACCGAATGACAATAAAATCTAAATCCAAAGCAGCTGAGCGTATTACACCACACAATATGCGTTCATGACAGTCATTAGTTCTTCATACTGTTTAGTGCACCACTTCCCCAACACCTTAGAAATCTGTAATTTCGGTCTTCAATTGTACTTATGAGAAGCCTCTCCTCTGGGAATTTAATGATTGATTTATATAGTTCTGAGGTATAGCTCTATGTAATGCACTATGGTTAGAAATTTCAGGGGCCAATGGCAGGAAAATTGGATTTGCATGGCCATTTCATCAAAGCTTAAAGTAGGATTCAATGTTTACTATGGCTTCCGTTTCATAAGATGTACTAGTTGCTAGGAAGGATGATCATGAGTATCTTCTGTAATATATTGCCAAATGGAGAACAAACATAATAAATAAAATACAAAATGTACAATAGTATTTGACGATCAATGCTTATTCTTTAAAAATATTTTAATACTTGTAATATTATTTACTCTTTTGAAATTCTCTGTTTCAACTTTCTCTTCCTAGAAAGTTTTTTCTCACATGAAAAAAATTCTAATTCTAAATTTAGGTTTTACCTGGCAAAAAAAATAATCCCAGATTCATCAATATGTCCAAAATAACACAAAAATCTGCAAGATACAACATGTCTTGCAGTGACAGTAAGCTATGATAGTTGTATCGCATAACACATATCCGCAGGAGTAAAGTAGGGATATATAACTGTGCTGAGCCACAGTGAGTTTACACTGTGGCATCCACTAATTGCTTAAATATACAGTCTAAATCCAACTCTTCTGACATGTTTGTACTGATGTAAGCCTGATTACTGGGCTGGGCTCTCTGGGGCCTAATGACAGGTGGGCTCTATTTTCTATTTCAACACACAAGTATCAGTTGAATTGGAATGCAAATCTTATTATTGTCATTTATCTTTATCCGTCCAAAGGGAATCAGAATTCTCCCCTAGAGCTGAAACTCTATCCCAAATCATGGGCCAAAATTGAGCAACTTTTCTAATTGAATCTCATCAAGGTAGGCCTGGCTGTGTCTCCAGGTAATTTCTCTGGAAGCCTCATGGTCTGCTGCAGTGTTTTTGGAACCATTTTCTAGGAGACATGAAAATTGGGCATTATTTGTCTACCCTTCGGAGGGCCTGTTAGGCTTTTCAAATTCATTATAGATGGTGATTACAAGTTTTATGCTGAGTGCACTTCCAAGTTAGCATGATACTAACAATAACCTCCTCTTTTTATTTCTGCTTTCCCTTTTCCTGGTAATCACCTGGTAGCAAACACTGTTCTTAGGAAGAAATGTAGATGAAAGGCAAACAGAGAGACATACAATTTCCTTTAAGTCATCAATGGGGTTGAGAAAGGTTAGTGGGGCTAATAAAATGGGAGGCTTAAAAGTGGATGATTGAAACTGCATTAGAAAGAAATAAGTATTTCTGTTACTCTTTTCCTTGTATTTCTTGGCCCTTTTCAGAATATCCAACAAATTGAAAAGATGAATCCCACTTACACCTCTTTTTTATGATTAAGGACTTAAATCATTTGTTTTTTCAATAGAACACCCACTCTTTGGTTGTAAAATTCCTCAGTCTGGCTCAAAATCTTATTTCCCAAAGGTGAGTGTGTGTCAGATGAAGAACATCAATTCTCAGTGTGTGGTACAATTTCCAAGTAATTTGACAGCCTCCTTGTTTTAAGCTGCCAAGCCTAGGGCCTTGTTTGTCTTTTGTCAGGTGAGAATAACTGGACAGTGGGCAGAGGTCAAGGGTGTGTGTGTGTGTGTGTGTGTGTGTGTACAATGTGCAAAATGACTTTTCAATATTTTAAAAAAATTAAAATGGCATGTAAGAATCTCCAGACATTTATCCCCTCTCTTTATTTTCAGTAATAATATAATTTTAGTAATAAATATGTTGAAGGTGTGACTGTGTGTCAACCTTCGAGCTTTCAAAAAGATCAGGAAAATATGTGTCGACGTTTGATAAAGAATAAAGACCAGTGAACCTAAAAAGACCATATGGAACTTCAAAACACAAAGCGACCCTACCGAACTGTACAGCCAACGACAACAGTCAACCAACCTAAGATATTCATCGGTCCACAAGTTAAACGCTGGTATTTCTTTGGCCTTCCCCTTAAACAACAATGGTTTTCCAGGTTTGATGTAGTTGTTGTAAAACGTTTCTGGGTCAGGCCATGTGTCCGTGTGTTCNTGTGTGTGTGTGTGTGTGTGTGTGTGTGTGTGTGTGTGTGTGTGTGTGTGTGTGTGTGTGTGTGTGTGTGTGTGTGTGTGTGTATGGTCACACATTCACACCTGTTGAAGGGGGTCCATACTTGCCATGAGAAAAGGGTGGAGGGGGGGAAGTCAGACATATTGACAGGCTGATGACAGGTAAGAATTGAAGATTACCACATACAGTATATATCAACAACAGGTGCTGTGGAAGTGCACTAGTCTAGTACTTAGTATGAGGGTGGAATGGTTTATGCTCATTAAATTTTAAAGCCTTAAAAGGGTATTCGTCATAATACTTCAGACTCATTTTCCAATAAATAAATAAATAAATAAATAAATAAATAAATAAATAAATAAATATTCAAAAGATTATACCTTATAAATGAAGACATGAAAAATCCTATAATTTTTTTTCATTCATTTTCAAAATGCACTCAGATACCATCTGGCCTTTCACTGACAGTTTGATTATTATTTTTGTTAACTTATTTACACTATCAGGTGAAGCCTCACTTCCTACACAAGGCAAGAATTTGTTTCAAATTGCTACTAATGCAGGTTACCTTTACCTCAGGTAGTGACATGTCAACTGTATAAACAACAGCAGCTTTTCACAAACCACAGTCTAGGAAATTTCAATTCTGACATCTCAACAACTATCGCCCATTTTCAGGAAATTTCATCCGGAATCACAGTGGGGACCCTATCAAAGCCATTTAAATAACAGGATCTGAAGATATTGATATTTTATAGCATTTTCCCTATGACCACACACACTTTTATCGGGAATTAAAAGACCCTGACTTCTTATAGATTTTTTTAGTGGTGGTCAAAAGGGTGAAAGACTGAAAAGGGGTCTTTTTATTATGTATACAAAGGTCTTGGATCAATATATTCCAGTTTTAGAAGCTGCCATACCCTTTCTAGCAACAGGAAAATGAAATTATTTCATGATAAATGATTTGCCCTTTTCCCTCCAATTTCAAAACTGACTTTCACATTGAAAGTGGTCATAGGCGGTTTAGTCCCTAATTCAAGCTATCAGCTTAAAAGAAGGTTGGGAATATTAGAACTATCCCACTGGAAACAAAGCCAGACTCCCTAGACTCATAAAAAAACACTTCTTCCATGTAATCTTTTTACAGAGAAAAGTAACATATTGTGTAACATAGGATCAATATATATATCCCCCACTCACAAACATGCCTGATTTACGATATTGTCGATAATGTATCTCAGAGCAGCAATTTCTTACTAAAAGTTACAATTTTTCTTTGGATGTCCTGTTGGATGGCAAACAGCATTAATCTACCCATTGAAATTAAAATTGACTCATGTTAAGATACTGCTCTACGAAAACAGACCAGGCCTGAAATAGTAAATGGGCTGAGCATTGTATCGATAACAGACACAGAGACCTTGTCTAAGCCTTACCAATAAAAATAACAATAACTGTCATCACACGAGCTGCAGTGATCCACAGGATTAATTCTGAGCATAAAATCCATGGATTACTTTTCATGTTCTGCATAATGGTCAATAATAAATGCAGATGAGGCTGTGGGTCAATGGGTTTGAACTGGCCCAGCATGGGTTACTGATCAACTATACAGGGATTACACTCACAATCCAGTTAAGACAATCATTCACAATGACCACCATACAAGATAAAAACAGATCAATAGAGCACACATGACACATCTTCCAGGCTACTTCCAGATGGATTTCAGAGGGGGGAAAAAGAGAGAGAGAGAGAGAGAGAGAAGAAACAGACTGTATTATTATTGAAAATCTTGATAAAAGAGCAAGCCAGATGAATGATGGTAGTTTTTTCGACTAATTCCCTCCTCTGGGATTCCATAGTGTCATCCCCTACTGCTGGATGGCACCATTTTAAGTGCTGCCATTAATGGGGAAGCCATTCCCTCTGGACAGCCGAAATGGCAAATAAATGAAACCCGTTTTTATATCTTGACCATTTGAATATGACAAACATATTGTCTATAACATGACCATAGCATACCTTGCCAGTGCCTGGGTTCTGGATTCTTCCCACAGTTCTGAGTAAACATGGTGGTGCTGGCGGGGGACTTGCGTGGATTATTTCACTAAATCTGGTTGGGAAAGGAGGAGGCTCCGGTTCTGGAGGCTCCCTACGCCGCTTTTTCTTTGAGGAGATGTTCAGTTTCTGAGCAGCCCTAGAAAGAGTGAAAAATCATGCAATGTTAATGTCAACATGAAATCATATCTATACAGTATAAATAAAACATGTTTTAATGCAATTGTGCTCAGCGTGTATGCCATTTATGTTGTACTGAACTTATGCACAATCATAAGCCAACCTTACAAACATGAGATGAAAATGAGTTGCTCAGAGAACTCCATACTTTGATATACCAAAGAGAGTAAATCTTGCCAGACATATATTTTCTTTATTGCATTTTCCATTAAGATATTCAAAATTTCAAAGTTAGCACAATCATACTGCAAGGTACATAAGAGATGGCTGAAGTAAAGAGAAATATAAATTGTGGTCCCACTGAAACACATTTTATTCAATAATGTGCAAAAAACAATACTCCTAAATGATTTTGATGAAAGCATTCTGATCATGATAATATTCGATTAAAAACTTCTGCCTCCAGCCTACAAGATTCGTGCCTGTCACATGGAATCTATTTTTCCTCTTTTTTATTTCCCAAGGCCAGATTCAGATTCATTTCTCTACCAAAATTATCTGATATCGCTCAGTTAATCAAGCATAGGGCAAAAACTTGATAATTCCGTATTGATCCAGAGAACTATTTAACTCTGGTCAGAGTGACTAAGGCCACAACACCCATTAAGCAGTAAAAACTACCAGCCACCACTGGCAATTAGGAGATAAATTAGTTTTTGTCTTGATTCGACAAGCTTGAATTTGATTAAATGAAAATATGGACAGCATGTGTAATTTTACACAAAATTGCTTTTAAAAATAATTTTGACTTAATTTTTGAGAATCATGTTTATGCTATGAAAACACTTATCCCAATGCTTCTCTGTTATCTATTTTTGGTTTCAGAATAGATATGTAATGTTGATGGTGATGGGAGTAATGTAGAAAAAAAAAAAACAATAAAAGATCATGATTGTAAAATTGCACATAATAAACTATGATATTTAAGATATACTATACACTATACTTCCTTGTTATGTCATAGTGTTTAATCAACAGCTTCATGAATTTATAAAATGTATCTGGTATTCCTTAAAACAACCAAAGATATATTTCTGTGAAAAAATTTTAAAAGTTTTTAGATAATTATAAAACAACTTCTGATTAATGTTTTCAAACAAATCTGTGTAGATCTCAGAAAAGAGAATGCAAGTTTGTATGGTACTTTGTGTGTGTGTGTGTGTGTGCATACACGTGTGTGTGTGTGTGTGTGTGTGTGTGTGTGTGTGTGTGTGTGTGTGTGTGTGTGTGTGTGTGTGTGTGTGTGTGTGTGTGTGTGTGTGTGTGAAAAGAGGGAAGATTGCCAGTTGTTTATGTAGAAGCTACCCCAACTGTGGTAAAGAGACATAACATCTGATGCAGACTGGCTTCCTGGATAGTCCTACTATTACTTGCCAGTTATCAAGGAAGTGTAGGAGGGGAAGAAAAAGGTTGAGCACTTAGGCCACCTGGTGGTAAGTAAGCAAAATCTATATCATCTCTCTTCTTCATCCACAAGTCTAGATCACCGAGATCCACTAACCTTAAAGTATACCCTATCTACTGGTTTCAGGTTTTATTACCTAAACAAGATTTTGTTCTCTCTTGCTCTTAACATTAAAAGATGACCTGAATATTTGCCTCTCTTACTTGGAATAATACTTACTTAAAAAAACACGAAACAAAATAATTTCAAGAAAATCTTATCAAAAGATTATGGTATCAAATGAGGACATGGCAACTGTTTTAGAAAATCTTTGAACCTAAACAGAAATGTACAGATGAGAATCAAGCAAGTCGGGCCAAGTGAATAGCACAGAGTGAGCGCTCTTGAAATACCTGAAAGGTTAAGTCTTTTGATCCTTGAGTGATGCATGTGATACAAGTTTTACGACCTGTCTCTGGAAGTGATTTCCCCATGAACTTAACAGCCCAAGTAATCAATGCCCCTACTTTGACTTATTTAATTACAGTCTTCCTACATTTCTCTAAGACAAAGAGGGGACATTAATCACATTAGAAAGAGTCCACATAGAGAGGCAATGCTATCCCTTTCCTTGTACTTCAATTTCTCTGTCTTAAGATTACCTAGTATTCTAATCATGGACCAATATAACAGCATGAGCCATTATGTTCAGAACCCTCTTGCATTGTTCAATAGACCATCCATGTGGCATAATTAAATAAACCAGAACACGAATCTTGCATATGAGCAAAAAATTGCCTTTAGATGATATCAGCACTTTCCAGCCTCTGACTCTAAGAATCTTCTTCATATGAGACTCATTAGTAAATTGAAATCTGTCAGTTTGGCTGCATATAAAGCATGCAGTTCAGGGATTTGCTCTAGTAATCCAATCCATAACACCCTAGTTTCTGCTTCAATAGTTGGGAACATACAATAAAAAGATCTTACAGATCTTGTAAAGAATATGCTATTAAATATCTTCCCATGCAATTGCCGCAAATATTCTTTAACAAAGCACTCAAAATCTACTTGAAAAAATCTTTTTATATATAAATGAAAAAGAGAGATAAAACAATTTCAGTCAAGTCTCTACAGTGTGGAACACTTGTATAAACAGTTTCCTTTGGTAATGGCTTCTTAGTATAGCAATGAACTGCCCATGTCTGTTGGTAGAAGTAAAGATGTACAGGCATTCTCACACCCTACCAGATGTAACAATATAAATACTGACACAGACATACAACAGAAACATAGTCTCACCTGTGACTCATATTTGTACCTCACTCCATGCTTGTAGTAATCCAAAATTACAGGAAAAAAAATATCCAGAAAACTGTGATGGTATCTTATATCAGCAAACAGACAGCACTTCAGATTTCCCTTAAAAGTATCAAAGTCTCAGATGCTGTAGTAACTGCAAGAATCAAATTCTCTCATTTCACACCATGAAAAATACAGTCAATCAATAGCTCTTCCTGTCAGAATCTGCTTTCCCCC